GGGCGGTCGGCCGAGTCCAGGATCTCCTCCATGATTTCGTTGGCGTAGTCCAGCCGCTCCTGCAGAGCGTTCTTCTTCTTCAGCCCCGTGAGGTTGATGAGGTGGATCTTCAGCCAGTCCAGGCCCTTGGGCCCCAGCGGCCTCCCCTCTGCGAAGAGCAGGATGGCGCGCGTGACGTCGTTCCCGAGGTGGTTGAAGTAGGGCGGGCAGGGGTAGGTCCCGCCTCGGAAGTCCATGGTGTGGGGGAACCAGAACACCTTGTCCCGGATGTGGTTGGCGATGGAGAGCTTGTAGAGCGCGTCCATGCGCAGGCTGTGCATCTCGGCTGCCTTCTTCTTGCACAGCAACAGCTCCTGCTTCTGGGACTTGCTCCAGGCAGAGCTGCTGCCGGGAGCAGCGGCAGGCTTGGGCGCCTCCGAGACGGGCGGCGGGATGTCCAGCTTCTCATTGCCTTTGTCGTTGAAGATGGAGATGATGATATCCAGCACCGGCTGGTTAATCTTCCAGGCGCAGGTGCCCAGCTGGTTCAGGGCATCCAGCACGGGGTGGAGGTTCACTGGAGGACACTGCTCCAGGAGCAGCTGGTGCTGGACGGCCCCATCCACAAAGCGCATCAACTTGGTGTCGTTCAGGAGAAAGGCACCAAAATGGGGGGAGGTCCAGGGCACTGGGGGGCACAGCATAGGTATGGCAGAGGAGTTAAAGGTCAGCAAGGTCTCTGCAGCGTCTGACACAATCTGGGAGAAGATGGGATGGGGCTTTATCAGCCCAACCTGGGGAGGAAAATCAAAGAGGGGAAGGTCAGCAGCAGAGGAAGAGCACGTGGTCAGTCAGCCACCACGTAACCATTGTGGCAAGTTCTGACGTTGTCCTGAGGAACCCGAGGCTCTCTAAGTGTCCCTGAGCAGGAAAGGCAGCAGGGAGGGAACAGGGCCTTGGAAAGGCCTGGATCCAATGAAGAGGTGGCCTGCTCAGTGCCAGAGCCCCCAGGCCAAGGCTCACCTGCCAGCTGCTGCGGAAGGAGTAGATGTGGTAGAGGACGGGGATAAGCTTGGGCTCCAGGCGAGGACTGAGGATGTTCCTGGGCACCTTGACAGCCTGCACCAGGAGCTCCAGCATGTGCATGCCCAGGCGCATGAGGAGCATGTACGGCCAGCTGCAGTCCCTCAGGTTCAGGGAGGGCCCAAAGCCTGCTTCCATCACCAGCTTCTCCCAGTATTCCCGTGGCAAGTACTTGTCAGGCTGGGAAGTGGAAGGAGAAAATGGGGTCACCTGGAGGGGCCAGCCACACTGCTCCCAGCAGTTTGCTGGGTGGGATCTATGTACCTGAAACACAGCTCTGAGAAGGACCCTCCTGGCTGCGTCCCTGCGAGGTCCCCCCGACGGGTGTTTGGGGAAGGACACTGACATGGCTGGGGCAAGCACAGCAGCAAGGACCTGCCTCTGCTGCAGGACGGGACTGGTGCTGCAAAGCCCTCCCTCTGCCATGTCCCTGCACTGCCTCCCTGTCCTCACACAGGCCCGATCCTCCCTCCCAGGCTGCAGATCTGCCTGCCCCTGTCATGCACACACAGCCCTGAGAAGGATCTGCCCAAGTTGGTGGCCTTGGCCCCTTTGTCCACTGACCTTGCGGTGCACAGAAACTGCCTCGCAGACTGGTTTGGGCTGAATGGACCTTTCAAGCTCATCTGGTCCAACTCCCCTGCAGGGAGCAGGGAGAGTCCCAACTAGAGCAGATTGCTCAGAGTCCTGGACAACCTCACCTGGAATGGTTCCAAGGATGGGGCATTGACCACTTCTCTGGGCAGCCAGGGCCAGGGGCTCACCACCCTGTGTCAAACATTTCTTCCTTCTATCCAGTCTAAATCTCCCTCTTTTAGTTTGAAACCATCCCCTCTTGTCCTGTCACAACAGGCCCTGCCCAAAAGTCTGTCCCCAGCTTTCTTCTCCTGGAAGGCCACCAGGTGGTCTCTCTGGAGCCTTTTCTTCTCCAGGGTGACCAACCCCACCTCTCCCAGGCTGGCCTCCCAGCAGAGGGGTTCCACCCTGGGGTCGTTACTGGTGATCCTCTGGCCCTGCTCCAGCAGGTCCCTGTCTCTGCTGAGGACGCCAGAGCTGCCCCAGCACTGCAGGGGGGTCTTCCCAGGGTGGAGCAGAGGGGCTGAACCTCCTACCTCGACCTTCTGGACTCGCCTTGTCCCACCAGGCTGCCCTCTCCCAGGGTACCTACCTGGCTGTCCTTTGCCAGCAGGTGGATGTAGTCCCCATAGATCTCCTGCACCTTCTCCAGCTGCCCGCTGCGCTGCTTCTTCTGTGTGATGTACCTGTTGTAGACCTTGGAGCCCAGCTCCCTGGCCAAGACAGCCAGGGATTCTCCTTGTGGAGAGAGAGTGCTGAGGATCTGAGAAAGGGGAAGGCAAACAGGGTCTTAAGGAGGAAGGAACGGAAAGACAGAGCAGAGAGACAGAGCAGTGGTTAAAACCCCTGTGTGGGGATCATAGACAGATGCCGAGTCCTGTGGTGCCGAGCAGATGAGGAAGGAAACACAGCCAGGACAGAGCAGGGGCTGCTCTGGCAGCTCAGCACAGGCAGCAGACAGAACCTGCACCTAATAACCTGGGCAAGCTTTGCAGCTCACGTCTCGACCCTGCTGGACGAGCAGGATGTGGGGGCTTTGTGGCAGCCCCACAGCCACCCAGGCAGCCCCGTTCTGTCAGCGCTGCGAGGGCAGGGCAGGGTCCTACCTGCAGCATGATGCCCACGTACTCCTCGTCCGGCAGCAGGCACAGGTAGGGGTAGAGAATGTTGTACCCCGATGAGCTCTGCAGCTTGGACATGCGTTTCTTTGACTTCTGCAGGGCCTGCAGGATGGAGCTGTGCCACTGGGAGCGGAGGGTGGTCAGCAGTTCACGCTACAGACACAGGAATGCTGTCGTGAGAGGGTGTCACCAGGGAGCTGCCCCATGCCACTGACCCCAGCACCTCCCGCAGGTCCTGAGGGATCAGCTCCCCCAGGGACGTGCAGCCTCCCGCCGCCGGAGCCTTACCGCTTTAACGGCCCGCGGGCTCAGGGGTTTGGTGGCCTCCACCGACTCAATGGTTACAGTGTTGTCCAGCTCCATCTCCAGCTGCTGCTGGAAGCACTGCTGCAACTCCTGCACGGAGAAGTCCAGCTTGGGGTACGACACCGTCTTCTCCTGCGACAAGAGCGAGACGTGAAGTGCCAAGAGCCAGGGGAAGAGGAGACGTGAGCACTCCTCCAGCTTCCCTGTGGGAGGCACGTGGTGAAGTCCTGGCCAAAGGCACCTTTCTGGCACCTCCAGGTCCAGAGGCCTCAGGCTGGCAAACCCCAGGGGGTCTGGGTAACAGGCTGCTCTCCAGAGGCTGCTCTGTTCCTGTGGCATTGTCAGGTGTACCCCCCAAGCACCCCCTTCAGCACACCAAGGTCACCCTCAGCTCCTCTGTTCTTCTAGAGCCATTTACTCAATGACTTGTGCAGGCTATTGGGCAAAGATCGGGCTGTCAATTTCCTCTCATGTTCCAGACCCAGGCTGGACCTGAGAACACCATCTGCCCAGCTCCAACACCTCCCCGAGCTGCAGCGACACCCCTGAGCTCTGTGGCTTACTTTGGAGTAGAAGTCCTGGAGCAGAGAAGACTTGCAGATCTGGGGCTTGGGTGGATGGGGCAGCTGGTAGTTGGGGTAGACAATCCTGATGGCCTTCAGCACCTTCTCCTTCTCATCTTCCTCAAACAGGCACTTTTGGAAGAGCTCATCCACATGGAAGCCATCGCTCTTCAGCTGCTGCACATACCTGAAGGGGGGGCAGGTAAGACAGGCTTGATCTTTCATAAGGGCCTGTGTGTGCTGGGCAGAAATCAGCACATAATGAGGCAGGGAACAAAGATTTTAAGCAGAAGACTAAGTGTGGAGGAAACAGCAGTGCCCTCTGTGCCACCCTTCATGCCAGGGCAGCTGCAGGAGGACGCAACTCACTGGAAAAGCTCTGACAGCCCTGGGAAGAGGGATGCACCCCATGCACATGCCCCGAGATGCCTCTTTCCTCTTCCTGCATCCTCCCCAAAGCAAGAACAAGGCAGGAATGGCACAGAAATAGGCAGAAGGCAAAATCCACAGCAGGTGGACACCTCGGTCCACCACGGCAGCCTGGCAGCAGGACGCTGTCCTGTGAGGACACGGGAGCTCTCTGTGCCCTCTGTGCCCTCCAACGGAAAGCCGCTGGCAGGAGCAGAGCCCGGCCTGACAAGGTCACTGGCCTCGGGTTACAGCAATCAATTATCCACCCCCCAGCCCACACCTCGCTGAGCAGGCAGCTTCACCTTCACCCTGGGCAGGGAGACTGGGCTCTGCTGCCGTCGCCAGGCTGAGCAGAAAGATGCAGGACCCTTCACCCTCAAGCATCCAAAGGCAGCAGAGGGAACCCGTGGGGCTGGTCGCAAAGGGGCAGGGGACTGGGGCTCCTGCACAGGAGTGTGGCTCCCAGGGCTGCAGAGGATCAGCCCGAGCACCAGAAGTGCCTGTGACAAGGGAAACTCTCCCGGCAGCCCCCATCTGGCGGGCACCAGAATCCCGGGCAGGCACCAACATCTCCAGCTTCCCAGCCCCACAGAGGACGCTGCGGGAC